CCACAGTCAGTGCGTTTACATAGCTATCGCTCGTGTCAAAGCTCGTTTGCATAACCCTAGCACCCGGTGAAAATACATCTTCTTCCGTTCAGGTTCGTTTGTTAACCTTCTGCGTAGTGGCAAATAGCTTCCTTTAATACTTGTGTACACTCTAGATCCAGTTTTGAGGTGAAGGTTGCGTTAAAGTTGATCAATTCTCAAGACTTGCGAGACTCCAAAAGTAAATAATGGCGCCGGTCTGTAGAAATTAAACGTGGCCGTCGTCCTGACCCTTCAATAAATTCTGCTGCAGAGGTAGCACAAGGAGAAGAAGAAGATCGTAAGTTTTCATTTACCGTTTAATGGCAACTGAATCCAGTACTACTGCCAAGACTACTGGAAACTTGAGGGCTATATGCCCTAATTTGAAAAACAACAACAACAAACACTTGCCGGTTGCATCGCTGGGAAATGAACCTGAATGAACATGACAGGCTTGAATGGAACTATGTTTTTCGATGAATGATGGGCTTTACTTCTGTTTTATGCTTGATGCTTGTCTTTTAGTATCTTGCACAGCGCATAAAATAAGCTTCGGGATCCGTTTATCGGGCCGTTTATACAACAAAAGCTGCACCGGCTTCGTCAAAATGTCACACAAGTTGTAACGTGACTCATTACCCAGGAGGAGGATACTCTCTTATATGGACTATTTAGGTATCTGTATGTGAAGCCTCAAAGGGTAGGGTTCTTCAGCCGTTTGGGTCATAAATAGGGTATCGATTTTGGCCATTTTGGTTAAAAATTGGGTATGGTTTTAGCACTCTAGTCTTGAATTGGGTATGTTTCTTAGCAGAAGTTACTTTTTCACCATTATCAATAAGACCTTCAACAAAAGCTCTTTATAACTTATGTTTAAAGCAACTGTGTCAGCCGCAACGGTCATAAATAGGCTATCGAATTTTTGGTCAGGTCATAAATAGGGTAGCAAAAATCGCAGATTTTGGTCATAAAGAGGGTAAGGGTTTTGGGAAGTGCACACCCCCACTCACCGGGTGCTAGGGTTATGCAAACGAGCTTTGACACGAGCGATAGCTATGTAAACGCACTGACTGTGGCAGATTTTAATCTGTTCTCGCGTGCAATCCAAGAAGATACCCACCGGTTTGAACTTATAGAACGGTTTATTAAGGTATGAAATTTACTGTGATGTGGTTTTTAGGCTTCATTTAGACCCAACTTTTGAGATTTTCCCCGTCAAATTTGGCTAAATTGTAGTAGGTGATCAAAGGCCTCGGAGTAGGGTGTCTTCCAGCCTCGCTGGTAAGCTTAGAATTTTTCGAAAAGTTTCCATAATTCGTCAGTCAAAGTAATAAATGTGCTTTAAAATTCGTATGAAAACGAAATTCCGTGAGCTGCATTTTAGGCAACGTAGCACGCTTCACAAAATCGGTGAATTTTACCTTTCTGATCACGGTCAGCAACCTCAGTTCAGCCGAAATTCAATTTTGGCTCGTAGCAAAGCAAAAATAAGGGATTGGAAAATAATAAGTTGCTTTTTTATATATATGTGTCAAACCATTCTCACTGACAAAAAATGAAGGAAAATTATTTTTGGTCCCGAAGTCGAGTGGACCGCTTTTAGCGAGACTGCCACTTAATAAAGTGATCAAACGTCATTCTCGATAATATCTAACATTGTTGTTTTGTCTTACTTCTTAGGTTGTTCAGTCCATCTATCCAGAAGGATGGGGCGACTCTGTCGATTCGTTATTACGAGACTGCTAAATTTTATTGCCTTTTTAAATATAAATAGCTGACTGGCCAACTCTGAGTTTGTAGGGAAATGCTTTTCTCCGGACTCTATATACATCAGAGTTGTATCAATATGTATCCGTAAAGGCTTTTGCACCGATAATTTTATAAATGGATGCGCCTCATTTGAGTCTACTATTTTATTTTATAGACTTGGACATAATATTAGGGATGTGTAAGAGAAGCTTAGAAGTAATCACAAATGAATAGTAAATTCATACACTGTCCAACAATAAAGGGAAAACAACACTTTAGTAATTTCAGAAAATTAAGAAGCAAGGTGTTGTCTTTCCGTAACGTGTTAAATATCCAAAATGAAAAGAATGAGTATTTGTTAGAGAACACATAGAGAATTGTTTAGGAATTTAGTGGTTGTATTATGCTTGCATTGTCATTTGAAATGGACGAGTTGCTGCGATAGAACAAACTGCTTCTTGTTGAGTAAGCAAAGTGCCCTGCTACGTATTTTTTTGCACATTGTTTGAATTTCTAGTGATATTATTTTGCGTTTTAATATCATGCAAGGATCTTTAAACTACTGAAGATTAGTAATAGTTCTAGAAAGGCCTTACGATTTTGTACCTCATAATAAAATTAGAAGATTTAAGGTAAATTAAAAGAAAAACGTTTGAACCTTCAGCAATTTTATTTCCTCTGTTTTAACACGAACTTTTCAAACAAATATTTGCCTTCAATTAGCACCAGTTACAGGCAGCTCATCAGGACTATAATTGGTGGTATCACACATTGCTACAACACACGTTCCTTTAGTGTTGGCTGCACATTCAGCTGCGTATTCGTTAAATCCTTCTCTTCTCTAGCATCCACGGTTAAACTGAAAGCCGTCTTCTGTCTGGAAACTTCCCACTCCACACACCATGTTTTCTTCCCCGCAATCCTCGGAAACGATGTTTTTATCACAACTTTGTTGAGCATCCTGTGCACTCTCCCCTTCTCCAGAGCTTTCTAGGCAATAAAGTTGCGCCTCGCGTCGACCTGCCAATAAAAATAGCAAAGGCCTTAAATGAATACTGGGCTAATGTGCGCCCGTTGCAATGACGCATTGGTGTACGTCATTCATATGTAACAAGAATACATACTTCTCAATTTGGAAAAAAGAAAAAAAAAAACGAGAAAAGCCAATCATGTTATTATGAGAAGGAGAGGGGATATTCTTTGCAAACTTATATGATTGACTTTTCATGCGGTCTACACGTCGACAGTCAATATATATATGTATGGATTTATGAAAACAGTGTTAATGAAATCAAACAGTTTTTATTTATTTATTTACTGATTGTTATTTAATTTCTTTTTTCTTATTTTTTTTGCTTTCCCTATGACAGCAGCTTGTAAATCTTACCTAGCATAAAATTTAGAGGACTTCTTGCTGCTTGTTTCATTTATTTCTCTATTTTTTTCCACTATTCGTTGCTAACCGCCCTCCCTTCCCTTTTCAATTGGTGTTAAGTTTCGTTAGTTCACTTCGCGCGGTGAGATTTACGGAGACTTACGGAGTTGCGTAAATCTGCGTAAAGTTCGTTACGCAGCTTTACGCCAGTTTTACATGCTCTTTAAGGCACGCAAAGGTAGATTTACGCTGTCGGACGTAAAGCTTGCGTTAATGCAGCTTAAAGTTGAAAAGATTTACGTTCCTTTACGCGCCACGTAAAGTTTGCGCAAAGTTATATTTTACTAAACCAAATGTAAAGTTGCTGAAAAGCTAGCATGAATGTGTCTAGTCACATTTACGCTTATTTACGTTTTATGTAAAGGTTGTATCAAGCCATACTTTTCGCAAAATCGTAAAACTAGCGCAAATATGGTATATTCCTTTCTAACGAGGAATGCGTCGCAGCTAGTCGTGATCAATCCGTTTCTTCCTGTTATCAATTTCCTCTCGGAAAAATGGGGCCCGAAAAAAATGGGTAAATCCAGGGCTAGGATGACTGATAGAAAATGGTACCTGACATAAACGTTTTTATTTCTCAATAATTCAACCAATATATTCCCTTTTGTCTCTTTGCCCCATTTTCCATGGTGTCCCTATCATCTTTGCACATCGTAATAAGCCTTACGATGTTTCCAGAAAGCTGCCCTCGATAAATATTCATCGCAATGTCCACACAATAGTCTAGTTTGTCTTCGCAAGCGGGAAGCAGCGTACGACTGCATGAGAGCGTGACTGTTGATCGTGACATGACAAAAGCCTAGCTCTAGCCAATCACGCACAAGCTGATGGAAAAAAGCCAATCAGAAACGTCTCTTATGCCGGAAACTTTCGGCGGTACACTTTTTCGGTGATTTCTGTCGGCGTGATTAAAGAGATCTTAACGTGATATTTACATAGTTGGGCGTCCTTTTCGATCTGCTAACCGTTGCATTTGACTGTGTCGCTGTGTGAGGGTTTAATTGTTTGCTTCGTGACCTGACTCCTGACCTTTTCCATCGGCAAAATGGACGACAAGTATGTTGTGCTGCTTGAAAAAGTTATTACTGAAAATATGCGCCTGACAGAAACAATGGAAGGATACAATAATGAGCAGTGAAAGATGCTTCAGGAACTGGCATTCAAAAGGGCGACCAGCTCTATTCAGGGACTGAAAGAGCAAGCAGAAAAAGATCTAGGAAGATCCCAATCCCGCAACAGTGTCTTATAAGTATATTCTATCGGTATGTTTTCGATGGCTTGTTATAAGCAAAACGAAAAGAAAATGCATGCCAAGTGAGCAAGGTTTTTAAGTCTTACTTCCGTAAATCGTGATAACAAGTTAAGCTTATTTGCTTTGCTCCGCTAATCATTCAGTAACCTTAAGTTTATATTGATTTTTTTTCCTCTGCATTCAATCGTTCTACGTTGTTTTGGTGTCGAATAAACGTTAAATCGTCGTTTAAATTCAAATATCGTGTCAGCATTGTAAACAAGGTAGGCAGGGAAAAAACGAGAGGCCCTGGTAATGACTCTTTGTGGAAAGGTAGGGGATTACACGTATAATACTTTTTTTACAGTCGAACCTCTATTAAGGGGCCACTTACAGGGTTACCACGGTCAGGGAAAAGTCAGGGAAAATTAGAGTTTATTCAAGGTCAGGGAGAAGTCAGGGAGTTTTGTACCAGGTAAGGGAGTTTCTAAATCCCTCAGCAAAGTCAGGGAAAAGTCAGGAAGTTTTATCTTAAGGTTGCTGCAAATTATTTTATTACGTTTTTTATAGACAAGGCAATTTTGTTGTAAAAATCATCTGAGCCATCCTTGTTTTTGTTAATTCATGGCCAGAATAGTCATCTTGCAGGGCCAGTGAAAACTGCTTTACAGACAGGGAAAAGTCAGGGTTTTTTCTTTTGTTCGGGTGGGAACAAAAACATCTCTGACTGATCCCTGACACATGTAGTTTGGCTTTGTTTTGGAAAAGGCAATGACAAATACTGCGGGTCCAAAATAGAAAGTGACCCATGAAGTTTATTATTGTCTTCACATGATTCCATATTGCCTAAAGCAGGTTTTGTACTTAAATAAATTGACGTTTCTACTAATTAAGCCTCTGGATGACTTGCCAATTTCTGATGAACCCCTATTAAGTGGCCACCTCCCATTTCCCCTTAACAGCCATTATACTTGTGTTTGACTCATATGCAAAGAATGTTTAGAAAGAAAATGCTCTCACTCGCTTTCCTGACGTGCTTCATTGAACTCAAAAACTGAACAGATTTTCCTGTTTTTCATACCATCATTTTGTTTCACTGGAAAAGTTGAAAATTTACATGGACATGTCAATTGTAATTTACAGTATGTAAATCTTGATTTACATTCTTTGAAAATTACAATTTACATGTTAGGGTTTTGTAAAATAAAATTACAGGAAATTTACAGCTTTTAGTACAGCATGTAAATGTTCTGTAAATAGTAATTTACATTGTCTTTGTCGACAATGATCATTTGAAGAACATGTAAAA